AAAATCAATGGGGGGGGGGAGGAGACATATGTACTACTATTTGTAATACTTTAAAAAATAATTTTTTAAAAAAAAATCAGCTTTAAATAGTATGCATGTTACAGATAAACTGTAGGCAGGAGATATGGAGGCATTTTCTCTAAAGAAGATACCATCCATTATAGAGGAGGAACTGACCTGCCGTTGTTTTTATTGTTTGCTGACTTCCCCCTGCAGAAGGGTCTGGATTTTGGAACACGTCGGGATGTGTTGCTCACACAGATTCAGACGCGAGCGAGACGATCTGCCTGTGTAACCACCTCACACACTTTGGAGTTCTGATGGTAGGGAAGGATTTTGAAACTCATTTTGAAATAATATAATTTTGGAAGGCATACTTTTTTGTGTGAATCAGCCTTTTGAGCTTATGTGTTTGGGGAATTATTTCCTGATAATTTTCATCTGTACCATGAATCTTGATTCTTAATGAAGAATCTAAGTAACAGAGATCATATATTAAAAATATACAAAAGTGCCCGGCCGGCATGGCTCAGTGGTTGAGCATCAACCTATGAACCAGGAGGTCAGGTTTTGATTCCTGGTCAGGGCACATTCCCAGGTTGTGGGGCTCGATCCCCAGTGTGGGGTGCAGCCAATCAACAATTCTCTCTCATCATTGATATTAATATTTCTCTATCCCTAGCCCTTTCTCTCTGAAATCAATAAAAATATTTTTTAAATAGAAAAGTAATTGCAGAAAAGGAACCTACTTTTTTCCCATAGCATTAACAGTGTTGATAAATAATTCTAGAAACAAGAATATCACCATGAAACTTTTGAATTCATCCACAGACTTGTACCTTTACTTATATCTGATATTCTTGAGTTTTTGCGGATATATGTGTGTGTGTGTGTGTGTGTGTGTGTGTGTGTGTGTTTTATTGATTTCAGAGAGGAAGGGAGAGGGAGAGAGAGATAGAAACATCAATGATGAGAGAGAATCATTGATTGGCTGCCTCCTGCACATCCCCCACTGGGGACCGAGCCCGCAACCCAGGCATGTGCCCTTGGCTGGAATCTAACCTGGGACCCTTCAATCCACAGACCAATGCTCTATCCACTGAGCCAAACCAGCTAGGGCAGCGGACACTTTTCTTGTAGTGTGCCCTTCAGGTCCTAGCAGAGCCATTGTTTCTGTGTAGTTTCCATAAAGGGATCAGAGCACATATGTTTTTTAATGGAAGATGGGGGAAATGTGTGCTGAGGCAATAAAGCTATATGCATTGGAATCACAGACATCAGATTACATTTATCCCCTCCCTTAAGTCTTACGCCCACTTCCTTTGGGACTGGGAGGAAGCTGTGAGGACCGTGTGATGTAGTATTTGGCTCATGTATCCACTCGGCCAATGTAAATGTCTATTGCCCTATGGTAATCCTGCGAGTTGTAATTTTCCTGACAACCCAGTACATAAAACCTCTGAAGGATAAGAACAAGTCATTTAAAAGGGTGATCATCACAGAAAATAACTTCTTAACTTTCTCAAAATATATTTTTTTCCTTTACCGCCAGAGCATGAAAATGAACAATTAAACTGTAGTGTGTTTTCACTAAGTGATTTTAAAAAAATACTGTTTTCTTCCATTTTCTCTTTTCTTCAAAAATGAGAACATTCTTTCAGAAAATACCTATGCATTATTACTCATTATATACAAAATGTGCTATTACTCATTCAGGTATATAAGCTTTAGCTTAATTGATTTAACTACTTCAGCTGTATTTGTGTGCGGGTGTGTGTGTGTTTGAGCATGATTGTGTTGTAAGTCTGATATTAGATAATAGATAACAGTAACACAATTCGCTGTTCAGAAACGATTTATTCAAAGTTTAGCTTTGCATTACTTTGAATAATCAGTAGTTTCTTCAAAATTGTTTAAATTTTATTATGAGTTTGTGATTAGGTATGACTTTTTCTATTGTAGACTGATTAAATAATTAGCTTTATATGCAGGTGGCTCTATGCATATTTTTAGTGCTATACTTCTGCTTTCCACCTTGGCTGGTTTTGTGAGTTTAGAAACTGCTGGAAGAAAAATTTTCCAGAATTTATCCTTTCTGGCAATGTGCCCACATCCTTTCAGCTTTCCAGACCACCAAGACTTTCTTCAGAGTCTTTCTTGATTTACAAACTATTTACTCACTCGTACAAGAAATCCCCAGTCTACATTGCTCCATGACACATTTGCCATATGAGAAGTTTTAAAAAATGTACCTCCGACCCCATAATTATATCTTCTAATACACAAATGTATGAAGAATTTAATGGTTCTGCTGTATTTCTTTGTAGTAAGACTGATTTTTATATTTTTAACAATCAGAGGAATTGTTGGCTTTCAGAGGAATAAATGTTTGTGTACTTTTCATTCTCTAAAAATACAAAACAGTATGAGAATGGGGTTTAAATTGGTATCATCAGCAAATAGCATTATTTTACTTCACACTTTAAATTGTGGCTTTAATTGTGGTTTGCAGGTCAACTGCCTGGCCTAGTTAGGAGCCATAGGTTTTTCAAGCAGTAATGGCAAGTCACTTGGAGATTCCTCAAGACCATTTCACTGACCTAATGAAACCTTGGATTCACTGAAATATTGGTTGAAGTCACCTATCTGTGAGTCAAGTGGCACTGACTCAAATACCATCCCATGTGACACAGGATCCCCCTTCCTGCAATGTTTTGAGGGATTCCTAGAGAGGATGAAGAACCCCCCACCCAACCCTGAGCCCATGTACCTGCTGAATTCTGTCACTTTGTGCCTTTCTTGGTGTCACAGAGGTGCTGTCCCTGCTACTTACTACATCAGCCAAACCTGAAACTAAGTCTGTGTCTTCATTTCACACACATGTACATACAACAAACACCCCTTACTGGAGGCCTTAGTGTGACTGGCAGGTTTTATTGACCTTTTGGTGAAAAGTAATAGAAAATAGAATGAAAAACTTAAAACACAAATATTTTTTCATAATTTAACACCTAAAAGTTTAAATCAGATATTCTTTTTGGAGGATGTCCCTTCTTCAAGAAAGCTCTGTTTTAGAACATCTGCATAATGGAGGTTTCTTTCTCCTCCAACCGGGATTGAGTGGTTGGTCTCAAGATTTATCCCTATCCCAATTCCCCAATTAAGGAAGAAAAGAACAGTTTTTCTACCAAGCCCAGACTTTTCAAGTCTGCCTCAACACAGTGAAGTGAATATTTCTTATTAATATGCTAGAAAGCATTTACTTCTTTCTACTCGACATGCACCCCCTAACATTTTACATGGTGCCTTTAACAAAGTTTGGCTTCCCATTACTTTGAATAATCAGTAGTTTCTTCAAAATTGTTTAAATCTTATTATGAGCTTATAATTATGTATTACTTTTCAGGTCTATAAAGATAAAAATTATGACCCCCAAAAGTCTTAATGGATTCTCATTTATGAAAAAAAGATAAAGACCACCCCACCCCATACCTACCAAGCTTTGGGATAACACAGTTAGGAGCCTCAGCACCATTCTCAGGGCCTGACAACCACAGTGCAGCACCAGCCTCTGGTCGTCCGCTGGCTGAGCTCCTCCCTACTGGGCAAAGGACTCACCCAAGGGCTTGGCCATGAGGGCCACAAGGGCTTCCATTTGAACTTGTGCCCCCAACCCTGCAAATGTTAAGAATGGGCTTGATAACTATTGTGCAAAGCAAGGATCTCCTCTCCAGTTTCTATTGGGGAACCCAGTGGTTTTGCTCTTCAAGATATACTACTGTGAAAAGAGCTTGGGTAACAAGGTAATAGATGAAAACCATCTGTAACTCCCTCGATACTGCTATATTTTGTTTCATGGAGTGATCCACAAGAGTATAATAAATGGAAATTTCAATACTGATTTACACTGTTTTTTACTCCTAAGGTTGAGCTGAGATTCTAAGTCCTAGCAAGGGACTTCTTAATAAAACAAAAGCATCCTTAGAAAAGAAAGATTCTCACAGCTGCTTTCCATGTTTTGTATAGGACCTTCAAGGAACTGCCTCACAGATAGATGCAAGAAACACTAGAATTCTCACCTTCATCACCTATATTGGATGTGGAATATCTGCTATTTTTTCAGCAGCAACTCTCCTGACATATGTTGCTTTTGAGTAAGTATTTTCTATCAGCCAAACCCAGTGCTAACTATTCTAAAATGTGAATAAGAAATTGCCTCAGCTTTTAAAAACTTTCATGCACTTTGCAAATCTCTGTGGGGTAGTTCAGTTTTAATGTTCAGGTTTCTTCTAAGATATGTCATACAGCATGAATTGTCCAGCTATAGTGTCTTAATTTATAATTAGTGTATGTCTATTGATAAAATGAATTTAAACCTGTTAGAGATGATTATCATATAAGTAAATAAACATTGCATTCATTGTTTTTTGCATGGTACAAGATGAAAACATTTGCTTCACAAATATTATAACATTAGACCTAAAACAGAAATTTTTGTTTTAAAAATAATCTTCACCTCATTAAAAATCAAGAAACTTAACAAAAATTTAAGGAAATTATTTTTAACAAAAATACCATTTTTATGACTATAGTTTTTCTAGATTAAAAAATACCAAGCTGTTGAAACCAGTTGGCAATTATTTAAACAATTAGAGACCATTTTGAAATAAAATTAATATTTATAAAATCTTTCTAAGTTTCCAAATGCTTGCAAATATCATTAGCCCTCCCCTCATGGAACCAGATCCTGGAGATGGTGCAAGCTAACCCATTGCATTGCTGTGTGAGATATGAATTTACTGCCTGTACTTAAAAATTTTATTTACAATATTCATTCTCCATATCTTCCTTTTTTCCATTTTAGAAAATTGCGAAGAGATTATCCCTCCAAGATCTTGATGAACCTGAGCACAGCGCTGCTGCTGCTGAACCTCAGCTTCCTCCTGGACGGCTGGATCACCTCCTTTCACGTGGTGGGTCTCTGCACCGCCATCGCGGCGCTGCTGCACTTCTTCCTGCTCGCAACCTTCACCTGGATGGGGCTGGAAGCGATCCACATGTACATTGCTCTGGTGAAAGTATTTAACACTTACATTCGCCGATACATCCTGAAATTCTGCATCATTGGCTGGGGTGAGCATCCTCAAAATGTCTGGCTTTCTTTTCAATTTCCTGGGAATTGCCACATTTTCATAGGAAAATGCTGTCTTGAAAGAATAGCATCGCTCAAAGAAACTTCAAATTAGCAAAGGATGTGGATGCAATACCTTAAGGAAGTATAATATTTGTAAAAACTGTTCAACAGACCTCACTAAATGCAGGAGTAAAGGCAAAACCTCTGGCCCCTGAGTCACCACAAACTTATTTCCTGTGCCCTGAGCCAGCCCACCCAAGTCTGAAGAGGCAGCTGGCAGACAGTGGTGCATTTCCATTATGTTTCAAAATATAAAGGCCGGCTCAGACTCCTAGCTACACTCATCCCTAGACACATGCCCATGTCTTAGAAACCAGAGGGAGAATGTTGGTTTTGTGTGTGCGCAACCAGAATACTGACAGAATTCTTTCCTTGAATGTCTAGTGATTCCTCAGCCAGACATGGATGATTGTATTAGTCTCTTTGGGATCTTCTAAATGGGCTCCTTTCTTTATCTGGGTTTTATATCAAACCAGGCATTTTAGAGCTTTCTCACAAATCTCTTTTTCAGATTGCAATGTAGAAATATGAGCCATTTCCAAGATGTTCACAATTTTAGGAGGCATCTTTAAGGGAATTGGGACAGTGTAATTTTTCTCAATGAAATATACATGGAATTGCTTTACTTGTTGACTCTCTTGAGAGAAAAAGGAAGATTATAAAGACTTTATGGTCTCAGTATTTCTCCCCCATTTTTTCTAAAGACTTTTTTATATATAGAAAAGGGAAAAATGAGCTATAATTCCTGTGCTGCCTGAACTAACAGTTGGTCTAACAGGCATCATTAATGAAACCACATTTGCTGGTCCTAGATTCAATATAAATCAGCTTCTGGCTCTCCAGTGGGTACTAGAAAACAAACAGATATTTACATACCTGTCAGTTAAGAGTAGGTTTTGATCGTTGACAATTGAGTTGGATGTTCCACACCAAAGAGAATGTATTTGTTATTTTAACCAAGCTGCCAGCTCTAAGAAATTTGATTCTGTGATATGAAGTGTTTTCTTTTTTTCTGGCCATTATCAGTCTTAAAAAGCAGTTTCAGATGCTTTAGAAAAGTTGCTCATGGTGTGGTCTCTTTATAACAGGTTTACCTGCCTTCATTGTGTCAGTTGTTCTAGCAAGCAGAAGCCAAAGTGAAGTTTATGGGGAAAAGAGTTATGGAAAAGAACAAGGTGATGAATTGTAAGTAATAAAAACTTGTCAGAAATTTATCTGCAATGAGTGTATGTCCTTTGTTTCCTAAAGTTTAGTGTAAGTTTCCATGCCAACAGTGAGCCTCTTATTTTTGGAGGTTGAGTGCATCGGCATGCCTTTACCAGGATCTTTACTACACCATGATGTACTCAGTTGAATGCCCTGAACTCTTAGAGCCCCTGGGGGAGTGCAGAAGTCTCAGATACTGTCTTCTAGGCTCAGAAGACCCTTTCTATTTGAGATTTCCTAATACTCCCACCTCCTTAAGCCCACGTACATCTTAAAGTGAGTTAAATAATAGTGTCAGACAATAATGCTAATGAGCCAATGCTAATATGAGTGTTCCATGGAAATGGAGGGAATGGACACGTCAGTGTGTTCTTGGATAATTTGGAAAATTTTCCTCAGGCTGTGATATCATTGAGGCTAAGGTGGTTCTATTGCTCACTTTCAGTAGTTACTTTTCTAATATAGGATGTTCCAGAAAAAATGTATACACACACTTTGAATAATTATAAAGGCAGTGTTTATTGAAATACATTTTATTTTCATTTAACAGCTATTAGCTGTTAAAGTGTGTATACATTTTGGTGGGGGGGGCACCCTGTATTTTATGCAGCACATAGTAGGTACTCATGCAATTGAATGAATAAAGGAGCTTACTCCTGACTGTGCTGCCACATTACTATACACATATCATGAATGGTAAACACTTTTATATCCAATTAATATCCAATCCTGTCCCATTTTCTTGTGGTCTTTCCTTAGTTTATATTTCCATAGTAGCACCCAAAAGACCCCCACAATAACAAGAATAGAATAAAAGTTTTAGGTCAGGAATTTCAGGACTCTAAGGGAACTGCCATATGTAAAGAAATATTAGCTTCAGGGATAAGCAGTATCATTTTGGGGAATCTTTATAATAAGATATATTAAAAGTGCCCTGCTGTTGTGGCTCTGTGATGAACCAAGAGGTCCCTCCCTGGTTCCATTCCTGATCAGTGCAAATGCCAGAGTTGTGGGCTGGATCCCCAGTAGGGGGCATGCAGGAGGCAGCCGATAGATGTTTCTCCCTCATTGATGTTTCCATCTCTCTCCCTTCCTTCTCTCTAAAAAAATCAATAAAAACATTTTTTAAAAAGGTATGTTAAAAGTAAAAGTCAGTACATAAGTTCTAAATAAGGTAATCTTAAAAGTATGTTAGTCACCTCTTACAGAACTTTAAAGTACATTTAATAAATTGCTATTCCATCAACAACTGTCATTTACTGAGCATTTACTATATGCCAGGAATCATGTTGGATTCTGGAATTCATAGATGTTCAAGGTAGCTTTTGCCTTTGTGGCAGTCATGTTCCACTGTGGAAGACATAACCCGGAATGGTGACTATTTGTACTAGAATTTTAAGATAAATTTAAATGCCTTAAATAATATATCCAATTTTTAAGGTACCTAAGATCTTTCATAGTATTATTATTAGGACCTGGGACATCTGCAAATTATGGTACATGTTAAATTTACTCATAGAATGTTTACACATAGTACAGTTTCTAAATTGCCTTTATCTGTTTTCAAATCTATATATAATTTTTAATATCAAGTATATCTTTCCTCATTTCATAAGGATATTGTAACTAATGTAAGTTTTTTAATTGTACATGAGAAATGTCACTATAAGAATGTCACAGTTTTACAATAAGGTCTTGCCTCAACTAGACCAACTATATTAATAGGAGTTCTTTTGCAGTATGGGATCCACAATTATGTGTGTCTTAAGTAGGAATTTACTCTTCTTGCATGACAAAAAAAGACACCCATAGAAATAAGCAATAAACTGGCATTAATTTATGGCTGAAATGTCAGAGTCAGAACCTCTGCAGCTCTCTTGGCCTTTCTCTCATGGGTATAAGGTGATTGCTGCTGCTCCATAGCTTGCTCTCAGGTTTGAAGCAGAAAGAATGAATAAGGGCCTGGCCAGTTGAGTTTATCAACATAGCTCTCCAGATTTTGCTTCCATATCATTTTGTAGAACAATGTCCACAGGAACAACCCTTAAATAAAAAAGAGATTGAAAATATGAGTACTTAAACTTCCCATTCTCTGGAGTGCAGACACATGTGAGGAAAGGGGTTAGACATGGTTTTGGGTAAACCAACCAAGAGTGTCCTCACGCCAAGTCAGAATTCAAGTAGCCACCTGGTTTTCTTCTCAACTCTTGATTTAAATAACTAGACATTAAAGTGATAGCTATCCAAAACAAACAAAGAAAACAATGAACACATCAAGAAGGAAATGGAGGTCCAAGAAATGAAGTGACTCTCAAAAGGTGTGTGAGAAAGGCCTAGCCAGGGGAAGTCTTAGGTCAACAGGCATGGTAATCAATTCCTTTTTCTTTCTTGTTTCTTCTCCTTTAAGCTGTTGGATTCAGGATCCAGTGGTATTTTACGTGACCTGTGCTGGGTATTTTGGAATCATGTTTTTACTGAATGTCGCCATGTTCATCGTGGTAATGGTGCAGATCTGCGGAAGGAACGGCAAAAGGAGCAACCGGACCCTGCGGGAAGAGGTCTTACGGAACCTGCGCAGTGTGGTCAGCCTGACATTTCTGCTGGGCATGACATGGGGTTTTGCCTTCTTTGCTTGGGGACCCTTATATATCCCTTTCACGTACCTCTTCTCCATCTTCAATTCATTACAAGGTAAGATAAATGGTACCTGAACAATTTCCACTTTCTAATTTTGTCATATTTGCAAACAGCTTCATTGTTGGACAGACGCCACACTAAGTTTCTGCTATTCCAAGTGCATAGTTTTGGGCATAGGGTAGGTATTCATGAAAAATGTATTGAATGGAAAATTGAAGTAGAATGTCAGTGTATTTGTTTGTTTGTTTTCAGAGATGTAGCCCAAGGACCCAGGACAGTACCTGGCAGATAGTAGGTGCTCAATAAACACATGTTGTCGCATGACTGAAAATGGGCAGGGAGGTGCCAGGTTTAAAGGAGTGCACAGATCACTTCACCCCTTACGGTTTTGCTGAGTGCTGGTGCTGCTCCTCATGAACCTCTTCCCATGCGGTGTGCTATTCTTGACCTGTAGAATTTTTAGACTCTATGCAGGGACAGAGCAATTCACCTTGGTTCCTTGGATGCTTGTTTTTCAAAATAAATACCAGTACTTCAGTTAAGAAATGCTCATTTTTTCATGATATATGACAGTTAGTTCCGCTTTAACAAACACTTGCCAATGGCCTGCTTTGTACAAAAATTCAAGGGTTCCTTCAAGGAGCTCCCTGTCATACTCCTGATTCCATAATACAAACACTAGTGTACATATGATGGATTTAACTTTAAGGGAATATTAAATGTCATTCTTCAAGACATTGGATATACTCTATTTTTAAAAACTTCCTAATGTTCTGAAGTACCATGAGGTCCCAACTCCAAAAGGAATAGGTGACAATGTTAGGTGTGTGGGGGAAGAAGAGCTGACTAAAGCAAGCTAGACAAATCTGTGCAGGGGTGGAAAGTGGTGGAAATCAAGTTTGTGCTGCTCACCAAATGAGATGCCTAGGCAGGTGCTCCCTACAGGTGTGTGCTCCCTACAGAAGTTCGCATTTTCCTGCAGGAGAGTGTTTACTGATTTGTATTGTACAGATCTGCTTTGCTTTTCCTCTTAGGTTTCCCATTAGCTCATGAGCTCCTGAGGAAAAAAAAAAGTCCCATAGTTGGTGCTGAACAATTGTTTATTAAAAGAATAAATGGATTGCTGGATAAAGAAAGGGAGGGTCTTTGGGTATGGCCTAAATCCAGCTTGAGGCTCCTCTGACATAAATCCACATTAATTGGTTCAACAAATTTTATTCAGGGTCACTCTCCCATAACGGAGGAAATATGTGGGCTCATTATCTTCAGTAAATAGGATAATAAGCCTCAAGTGAACCTCCAAAAGGTGAAAACTGAAGAGGTAGCCTATGCACACATCTTCACGGGATCTAGCTTTGTAAAGTGATTTTTCCTGTATTTAATCTGTTCTGTAATATACAACATAAATGTGCCTAGATAAATATTGACAAAAATGTCCATTAACATTAGAGATTCGATGGTTTTATATTTCAGTTTTGTACATGAAAAACACATTAATCTGCCACCCCAACCTAGTTTTTGCTTGTAGAATTTCCTGGCAGTTTCTATAACCTCCAAGAGCCGTAGTTGTCTGTTCAGCTCTGTTTCCATTCATGAGAAATGGGATGTTTTATTTTTCCCAGCATAGGTCTTCTGTCAGGAGGGAAAAATATTATTAACCATCATTAAGTTATATCCTTCATAAATCACTGACTTTTAAGATTAAATTTAAATTATATTAATTCAGAACAGATTTTGCACATCTAATGACATTAAAACACCTCCTAAAAAGGAAATTAAAATTAAAAGGCAAGGATACATAGCACAAGCCTACCAACAATTAATTGCTTACCGGCCAAGCCTGTACAAACACTACTCAAGACACCATGGGAAGGCACTTAATGGTTTTGATTTGAGTCATTTTCTGAATCTTTCAAGTGAGGTTTGTTGTTAAAAGTATATGCTTTATTAAAAGAAACATGGAATTTAGACAATTTAAAGAAACAATTCAGTGAGTGAAACATGAGCTCAGGTAGTACTAGGACTACATTATGTCTATTTCTTTTCTTTCTGATATTCTTTATTCCAGAAAAAAAAAAGCAACAACAACAACAAAAAAAAAACTTTATGTGACCCCTTTACCTCATGGAGCTTATATGCTAGTAAGAGAGATTGACATTAACCAATTATGTCACCATATAAAAGTACCTGGTGGTGTTAATAATAATTGACAGAAGACATGGAATTCTAAGCTGAACTCTGAAGGATCAATAGGAATTAACTAGGTGAAAGTTGTGAGTGGAAGTGGGGAAGAGAATATTTCAGGTAGAGGGTACTTCATGTGCAAAAAAAAAATTGTATAATAAAGTCCTCACTTAATGTGGTTAATAGGTTTTATGACTTTAAGCAAAACGAAGTATAAGGAAACCAATTTTACCATAAGCTAATTGATATAAACTAAAGTTAAGTTCCTATGGCCTCTCATCAACATTATAATGAAATGACATTATTCAAGGATCTGCTGCAGTTGGTAATTATAACACCTGCTCAAGGAATTAATAGAAAGCTCATATAACCTGAAGAACCGAGAAAGAGCAGGAGAGAGAGCAGTGTGGCACAAAAGGGAGTCTGGGTCTAGACCAGAAGGCCCTGTGTTTTGATCTTTATGAGAGCAACGCGAAGTCTTTGAAACGTTTTAGGCCTGTGAAATGACATGATCAGATGTACATCTTGCAAAGGAATCTGGATATAATGTAAAGAGTGGATTAGAGTAGCCCAGTAGCGTCTGTAGGGAGAGTAGATAGGAAGCTATTGCAATGATCCGGGTAAAATAACATGGTACAGTATTTTAGATTGTGGTGGGAATGGGGGAGCTGTCGAGATGTGAGAAAGCGTCAAGAGAAATTTAGGAAGTATGCTACTACAAAACACTCATCATTGGTTAGTTCATTAGAGTAAACTCTTATGTTTCTAATGATTTGGGTAAAAGGTCTTTTTATTAATGGAATCTTATAGTTCATTGAAGCCTATCATTATGAGAATTGGCAATGGCCAAAGACTGAGAATGTAATACAATATTCTGAAAACTAAAACTATGCCAAACATACTTTAATTTTCTCAAGCTTAGCTCATAGTTGAGCATCTGAAAATCAGCAGGATTTTCATCATGAATGCCCCAAGTTATCAATTGATAATGAATGGCTGTAGTACTATAGACGTGGCACCTGCAGGAGGGACAGGTGTTTGAGCTGTCATGGCGTGTATATCACAGGAGTGACTTTTGCTAGCAGATTTCTTCTAACTTTTGTATATGTCTTCAAATATTTGATTAAAGCATTTAAATTATTAAAAATAAATGTATATATTTTATTTGGTTAAATATGCTAAAATTTTTAGAAATGTATATATTTTTAATGTATGTATGTGTTTGTATACAAATACATATGTACATGTATAATTATATGGGTACTCACATAAATCAGTATAGCCTATTACAGTTTTATAAATGCTTTATTTTTCTTTTATATGTTTTATTTTTTCTTTTCATGTTTTCTATTTTTATTATTTTGTATATTTTTAATTTTATATATACTTATAACTGTACATTTAATGGCAAAATCATGTGAAATGGATATCAGAAAATTATTATAATCTGTGTGGCTATAACTAAAAATTTACCTACTTGACTAAGCAAATGAAATCATGAATTGAATCAAGGCTAGAATCAAATTTATTATTTTCTAATTTTCCACAGTATATTGTTTTGTTCTTTTTATTTTGCCTAGTTCACTTGTTATATATTAATTGTTTCATCGAGTTTTTTCTCTATGATGAAAAGATAAATATATACCTATCTGCTTTTGCTATCCTTTCTGCTTTCCCAGGATAAAACTATCAGAAATTTTAATATTTTTCTAAAGAATACAACTTGAGAAAAATTGTATGGCATACAAATTGCTATTCAAAAGAGAACAGATGTTTGATAAAAGTATATCATAATTCACATGCCTGAGAACCTTAGACTTTATTTCAACAAATACGTAACTCATCCTAAAGAAATAAAAGGCAACTCCCTGGTTGCTGAGGAGCTGTTGGCCAGAATCCTGATGGCATCTCTGTCCTTTGGCAATGTCAGTGCACTTGTAGGATTGAATTATTGCTCTAAGGTGCAGCACGTGCACATAGCTGTTCCTTAGACTAGGGGTGAACATATCTCCGACTGGATATATTTCCGTTAACTGTACAAAAGTATGTTACACTTTCAATTAGATCAGGCTTCTTCAATGTATAGGGAAGTTTACCTCTTCTAACAAGTTCATCAGGATCTAAAGTCTAGCCCCATACTAAGAGCTCAGTCTTCAACTTTCCTTTTCCAGGCATGAGAAACAACATTGATTAATAGTCTCAGGTGTCATCAGCCCATATTCTGTATATGTATGTGACAACATAATACAATGCAACATGTGGTTCTATCAGTGGAAACTCTGATGGCCAACACAGAAGGGCATTATCAGCCTGCTCAGATATAATGTTTGCTGTTAATTAATTTGATAACATTAAGATATCAGAGCAACAGAAATGACATATTTGTTCAGTGCATTGTTGTTTACAAAGCACTTTCCCGTAACTTCTGTCATCTAATGTAATTCTTACAGTAAGTCTGAAAGGTAGAGGGTATATTCTCCATTTTACAGGCTCATGAGAGTCAGTGACTTTCCCAATATCAGTTTGAATCTGACAGTGTAATATTTACGATGTACCATATGTGGAAATAAAAAGGTACATTATTAGGGAAAGTTTCTAGGAAGTGAATATTTGCCTCCACTAAAAACAAAAACCCTGTTAGTAAATATATGTTTAATAAATAAATGTGAATTTAATCTCTTTCCCTTATTCAGCAAAAATCATTAAGGAAAATAGATTTATTATTTTAATACTTTTGGTAAAGTAAGAATATTAAATCAAATTTTCCAATCCATGGCTAGAAGCCTCCTGAGAGTTAAGCTGTGTTATAATCACACATACAACACACATAGTGAATTGGCTCCAAGGCAATGAACCACCTTTATACCCAAACATCCGAAATGACATTGTGTTGGCTGAGACATTACACACATCAAGGAAATAAATTACTCATCTTCAGGCATGGAATTTTGTGCCACAGAGAAGTAATTTTCTAAGGGGCACCTTGGTAGTATGAAAGGAGGATTCAGGAGGTTCCTAAACCTAAATGATCCCCAGCCCAGCAGCCAGCTGGCTATGTCTGTGAGACAACAGAACAAATGAGCTGTTCGGAGATTTGGACTCAAGCTTGCTGGGAAGCTCAGAGGTCATCTAGACCTTTTCTGTCAAAAGTCAGTTATGTAGAGTATGGGACCTCTTTTGCCCAAATGCCTGATTTTATTAATTCTTGACTGATTTTCCCTTCAAATCTCCAGAACCACTTATCACTCATCATTATTACCCATTCGGATTCTATCCCACATCCCTGACATGACCTGTATCTGCAGTCTTCCCCTTCATTGTGTTTCTGGTTCTTTCTTATCCAGGGTAAAAAGAAGTCAGTTTAGGCCATTTGTCAGAATTTATTGATGGCAATCTTGCTGAAAGTGTCAATGGCCTTTAGTTGGTCAAGAACTCATTAGGAGATGAGGATTCTAGGTTTTGTTTTGTTATTCTTCACCAGATTTCTTGAAAGTGACCTTTTAGAGCAGTAAAAGAATGACAATCTGTGTTGCCCCAAATTTTGCTGTGTAGCATTCATTTTCATATCTAAGGGAAACAGTTTTTTAAAACTTTTGATAATCAGGCTAAAGATCTGAGAACATCCCGTTGGCCACTCATCTTACATCTGCCCCAGAAAGCCACATGTCTTTGCCAGAATCAACCAAAGGGAGTGAGTTCTGGGTGGGAGCCAGACTCCCAGCCAAAATATTGAGGCTAAGATGCTCTCTTTTTTTCTAAATAAATACTAGTAGCTCTTATAAAGACAAAGGTGAAACAAGCCCATACAATCTACAGTGAATATAATGCCATTACTTACAAGTAGGCTTTTTCTCTATCCAAATATGATACTGGAATGTGTCCTAAGGTAGGTGAAAGGAGGAAGTATAAAAAGCAAATCCACTACTTGAGATTTTTCAGAATGTTTGTGACTCCAAGTTTAGAGCACTCTCAGGTGTCCTGTTGCCAGATTTGCTGACCCAGCCTTGGCCTGTGGCCTGCTTCTCTCAGAGGCTTTGAGGAAGTGGGTTCCTCACGTTCCCTCCCTAGGCAGGATCAACAGGCAGGCCCACCTTCTCACATACTTTGAACACCCTTCCTCCATCACAATTGAAAATATCATTTATTTTATGAGGAAATTGTAAAATTTACCAAGAATCGAGACATCTTGAATTCACATATTGCTCTAATTTTTTTTTTAAGTGAGCAGATACTTCTGACTGACTAATGGAAGATGGAGGTAAAGGAAGAGAAGGCAGGGGTGAGGGTGGGATAAGCAGGTAAGGACTGGTCAGGAATCTGTTCAATTAAAGTAGGTTTAAACCTGGCAAGTGTTGCTCAGTTGGTTGGGTGTCATCCCATTCACCCTCACCAAGAGATCACTGGTTTGATTCAGATCAAGGCACAGGACTGGATTGTGGGCTCTATCCCCAGTAAGGGGCGTGCAGGAGACAGCCCATCAAAGTTGTGCTTTCACATTGAAGTTTCTCTCTTCTCCCTTCCTCTCTCCAAAAAATCAATAACTATTCTTTTGAAAAAGGTATTTAAAGTAGGTGTCAGTTTTTGTTTTTCTTCTTGTTCTAGCAGGAAGTCTGGGTTCCTATAGGTAAAATAAAGAATTCAGGCAGTTACTAAGCTTAAGAAACTATTTCTAAGGAACTTTGGCTTAGAGTCATCAGACTGGTGGTTTTACAGGCTACCATTCACCAATAAAGGACCATTATGAACTCTGTTTTGTGAGATATAAAGGTTTCGTGAAACTAGTGCTAGCCTGTCAAGATGAAATAAGGACTTTAACTCTGAATTCAATCTTTGAGCCATTTTAACTTCCAAACTTTTATGGGCAATGTTCCCTCTCCCTGATCAGTTAGATAGCTGTAAGACACACGATGAAGAGCAAAGGCTGATTATTCTGGTCCCCAGTCACAGCTAAGAAATCTAGACCAGCACATTTTTCCAGGTGTTATGAAGAGTCTCTGAGGTGCCATGTGGTTGATATGAAGATTCTCAAAGGGAAAATATTTGACAGAAAGGGAGCAGAGATGAGAGTGAGAAATCGGACATAGTTCCTTGGATGTCAACATACAACTCTTAATGATTTTAGTTCTGCTTCTGCACCCATATCTGTAAGTAGGTGGGAGGAAAAACCCTCAAAATTGAAGAGGGATAACCATCTGTTTTCTCACTTTGGCCTCCAAGGGCCTTGGCTCTCTGGCTATATTTTCTACTCTTCCTTCCTGAAGAATTAGAATTTGCGTACATGTACTCTTCCGGATGGATACCTACCACATTTCCAACAGTGGAGCTCTACAAGGATGTTTTGTCATGAAAGAATTTGGCTATATTTATTGCCAGACTAACCTAAATTCAGGTGAAAGGGGCTGGTTATCACAAATGGTCAAACAACATATTATGAGAATTCTATTCTGATTTAAAATGGAAATGTGTCTCATGACAAAAGAATTTTCATACTACCTTGGAATTTAAGAATATATTCATTCCTAAGAATTCTCATTTCTTATGCCTATTACCTAATTGTGTCGCACTGCATCACAATTCAGAGTGGGAGATGGAGATGAATTTAAGTGACTTCTCTTCTATCACATAATTTTAGAGGAGATGTATCAGATTTAAATCTAATTTATGTACCAGTGTCTCTTTAAGTTCTTGGATGCCTATGTATTTCCAGGCAAATGTGGTTGCTTAAAAATAGGAATGTCATCTAATGCTATATAATTTATTATGATTTAAGACAGCAGTACACAATCTAAAAGATGGTTTTATGAAGTTCATTTTATCTTACATTTAACCTCCTCCGCTGTGAATATAGTCCACATGAGATCCTCAAGTAAGTCACTTTTTAGTATCCCCGTAAGGCCAAAAGAACAAGTCTGAGAACAGGTTTCCTCCAGAATGTACAAAATTTATAAAAACTACTGAGTATTAAAGGAAGCAACTTCTAGCAAATTTCACCTTCTTCCCTCAACTGAAAGAAATCATTTGCTCAAAGCAGGGCCCTACATTGAGCAATGCCTGGATTAATGCCTAGGAAAGAATGCCCTCAACTGGAGTTTATAATCTTTTTTCAGCTCTAATACGTGATTTTGTTAAACAGTGTTTAAGAACACATGCTTACCTGTATTTTCAGCTGTGTGACAAAAATACTTTCAGGAACAAGTCCTGCAAATTCTGCCCCAGCCAACAAACACAGGGTGGTGCACCTGAGATGGAGAGGGCCCCCTTCTCCCCGCCACACAGCCTCCTTCATCTGTGACCTGTGCTGACCCTACCACGGGCTCCATGCTGCTGCTCTCTTTACTCTGAAACTGCCACCACCTCTTAAAAACTTAAAAGGATCTGTTAACCAATTCAAATTATTTATTTTGGTGATTCACACTACAAAGCATGTTTAGTTATTAAAGGGATTTTCTGTGTTAGCAAACCCCCAAGGGAATTGGGGGCTGTAGGTGTGGGAGGCTTTAAAAAGCAGTCATTTAGTCAGGGTGTGACCTCCCCAAGAGCAGTTGGAGTGGCATAGTGGATGTGGGTTAAGAAGAGAAGAAATGAGAAACAGCAGAAGTTAACCATTTCAAGATATTGTATTGAGAAAGGGAATGGAGAAGTTGAAGCTGGGGGTTAAAGGAGAAATTACTGCTTGTTTTTAAAAGAGGATTACCACCATAACTGGTTTGGCTCAGTGGATAGAGCATCGGCCTGCGGACCGAAAGGTCCCAGGTTCAATTCCGGTCAAGGGCATGTACCTTGGTTGCGGGCACATCCCCAGTAGGAGGTGTGCAGGAGGCGGCTGATCAATGTTTCTCTCTCAATATTTCTCTCTCATCGATGTTTCTAACTCTCTATCTCTCTCCCTTCCTCTCTGTAAAAAATCAATAAAATATATATTTTAAAAAAAAGAGAGGGTTACTAGAATATGCTTGTAATGGGAATAACCAAGCATAGAGGAAGAAATTGGTGAAACAGTAAAGAGAGGTTAAAATGCAGAAACAAATTCCTTGAAAAGTTAAAAGGTATTGGCTTCCAAAGCACAAATGATGCAGTTAGCTTTTGATAGGTACAAGGAGTGACCATAAACAAGAGGACTGTTTCACAATACAGAAATATTTCTGCATTAAAATGTTGAGAAACTAAAGCAGGTGAAGCCACATGAATTTGCTGATTTGTGGCCATTTTGACCTGCAAAAGTACCATTTTTCTATGGCCCAAACTTACAATAATATGCACACATAAAATAGATTAGAATACACAAATGGAAATAGGTGGTGAGAGGATGTTTTCTGTTTTTCACATTCTTTTCTAAATTTTGTGAAATATTTTCATATAATCTTAAAACAAATGTAAGGGACTTATTAAATATCTCGTAAATTGAATATTGCTTTAAACTTTAGGTTATAAGGAATGCTGAACAGAACAGGCAAAGACAAAATCAGATACAAGTAACAATTCCGGTTTTATCTGAGCCTCTGTGTTCTTTACTAAAGGTTTACAACATCTACCACATACTTCAAGATTCCTGGGTATCTTTTCCTCTTAGCAACTCATATGTATAAAAAGTTTAAATTAGAATGAATCTATGCGTTTCATAAGCTTTATCTTTAAAATGTGTCCATTGGCTTAAATGTTAATATTTTCTTTTGTCGCAGGCTTATTTATATTTATTTTCCACTGTGCTATGAAGGAGAACGTTCAGAAACAGTGGAGGCGGCATCTCTGCTGTGGTAGATTTCGGTTAGCAGACAACTCAGGTAAGGGGCAAGCTGATAACTGGTTTTTACGTCTAAGAGCAATAGTGGGAAATGTTTGTTATTGGGTCTTCCATTGCCAGAGAAACCCAGTCCCAGTGGTAGCAAGTTGTAAAGGTGGGGTATGTGACGATGCTTGGTTAGAGTCTTAGTATATTAGGAATTCAAGAGATCTGAGGCCTCTGGGCATGACCCTCTGTTTGGCAAAGGAGAATCATGAAATCCACACTGGTTAAGTGGGCTGCTCAAGGCTTCATGTCTAATTTAGTAAGTCAAATGTCCAGAAGTTCCACTATGCCAGTGTCACCTGTCCACATTTTTGAGGTTCTAATTTTACATGATTAGGCCAAGAGAATTTTTTCAATACTGTAAAATGAAGTACCTAATAAAAAGTATTACCTTTTTTTATTACCATCGGTGGTTACTTCTCACCCTTAGGATATTAAAGTAGGATTTCAAACAATATTTTACACAGGGTCAAAGTAAGAAACTTACCTACTTCTTTAGTTTAATGTTGTTTGCATCTAATGTTCTAGGTGTTACTTAAATAGTGTAGTGATGAGTCTTCAGGCCATATTCCTTCTACAGCAGATTCATGGAGAGATGTCATTTCTTTCAGACTGGAGTAAGACAGCTACCAATACCATCAAGAAAAGTTCTGATAATCTAGGGAAATCGTTGTCCTCAAGCTCCATTGGTTCCAACTCAACCTATCTTACATCCAAATCGAAATGCAGCTCTTCCACCTACTTCAAAAGGAATAGTCACACAGGTGAGTCCTGGCCATGCAAAGGTGCTCTCTGATTCAATTCTCATCACGTTTTTACTGACAACATTGGCAACGTAGACAAAAATTTACTTGAAGACCTTATCCAGCACCTTTGTAGATGTTTGTCTTTTTATTTTTTTTTAGATTTTATAACCTAAATTGAATCTATATAGCCATAATGTTATTGGCCAGCAGTTCTCAACCTGTGGGTCGTGACCCCTTTGGGTCGAAGGACCCTTTCACAGGGGTCGCCTAAGACCACCCAAAAACATATATAATTACATATTGTTTTTGTGATTAATCACTATGCTTTAATTATGTTCAATTTGTAACAATGAAATTGGGGGTCACCACAACATGAGGAACTGTATTAAAGGGTCGCAGCATTAGGAAGGTTGAGAACCACTGTTATTGGCTCTGAATATTATTGTGATTGCCTCCAATGCCAACTTAGTTTTCTTTTAAAAAATTATAGTTATCTTGTTTAACAGTTACTTGTTTTATTTTAAAATAGTATATAAAAATTGAGTTGAGATTATTTCAACATAGTATTAAAGTTACTTGGCAAGCTTGCATGGGAACAGAAAGAAACACCATCCAGGATATATGTTACCTTTAGGATTTAAAACTTTAAACATTGAAAATGTGATTGGCAATTACTGTTTGAATCACTGATTAAACAAAAAAATAATGAAAGAATAGAGAACATCATATTTGGGAAGGAATACAAGATGGTGAGAAATATTGTATCTTTGTTAATCTGTATATTCATAATATTTGCAATGATCACACATTCTAACACTAAGCATGAAATGAATAATCCTGAAGACTACATGGAAATAAAGATGATTTTGCAATATTGATAGCCAGTGGCCAGTGGGATAAGGTGTAATCTTTTAATAATTTCAAAGGAAAATAGCAGAATTGCTACTTTTACATACTAATTAAACCTCAATCAATATTTAGCACCCAGCACTTTCCTAATTAAAGATGTGTCCAAAAGGATAATGCAAATAACCTTAATTTTGAATTTGTTTAGCTATTGAACAGAGGTGAATGGCACAGAGAAGATTCATCTTAGGCTGTTTGCAAATAGGGAGTGCGTTGTGTGATGTGTAAATGTTCACATTGCAAACCCTTGAAGTTCAAATGACCCTTATGTACATTTGAATCCTTCCACCTGCCCCTGCTTGCGCCTCTGTCAGTGCCTCACCAGTGGAATAGCCACTGCCTGGGATTCAAGATAGCACCGTAGAGACATGTTTGAGTGTATAGAGAGTTTGTTAATTCCAAAATTAATTAAAGACCTGAGAACTTGGAACAGTTTAGGTGATTCTTGAAGTAAGGATGTTTAATAAAAACTATAAACTCCCTTCCAGAATAAGGTGCAGGCTTTGAGTTCTGTACACAAATAGCTTTGCCTAAAATTAAGAGGTCTGTGCTCCCCTGCTGTGTAATAAATAGGGGTTATCTGAGATAGTCTAAAATAGATTATTCTGCCTAATTGGTAGTTTTCTGGTACAAATTATCTTTATTTATAATGAATGAATGTTTCACTTAAGATACTCAACCTCAAAATTAGATACTCATTTTGCATCCCCTCAAAAATGCAAATAATTTATACGTGATAAGCCAGTTATGAATGACTAGGAATTAGAAATGATTATCTTACCCCTAACACAGCTGAGAATTGCTGGCCTCAAGAAATGCCACTATAAAAATGGGAGAGAAGATAACAAGGTAGATAATTTGGAACAGAGGGCATTTTGGAAGCATTAACAAAATACTTGAAAATATTAAGGATCATGGGAAAACTCACTAAAAGATGAAAGGAAATGCAGAAATGAAGATAGATACCTAAGAAAAACTTTACTGTTTCAAAACATTGTGTATGTGGTTTTTTTAAAGAATGTATTAATATTTTTCTGCTTGCCATAATAAAACTCTTGGCATTTAATGGGTTCTTGTCAACTGGCATAAGGATATAGTCAGCTATATGACATACTTCTATGATATAACACATTCTGGTCTCCCATCAACTGATGTACAAATGGCCTTCTACTACCTAGCCAGTTCTCAGTGGGACTGCTGGTGTACTTGGGTCACTTGGAGTATGCAAGGAGTCACTGCATATCATCATGGATATCTAGTTGGTTTATTTCTTGGAATTGATCTAGAAATTCATATGTTTATGGTGTAGATAATGTCTTCTAAGAGCATTCCTTCAACAAAAGTGGATCATTCAGGTAAACCTTTATTATTTTTTTGAATGCATGATTTTTTTGCAAGGTAATAAGAGAATATTTGCATGAATTAAACTAAGACTCTTGCTGCACCAGCAAAATTGCTTGTTCTTTACAATACTTCTCAGCTAGCACAATGACATTCCTGCCCTGAGCTGGAATTTCTGAAATTTCAAGTGGTTGTTTGCTGTGCTGGCTCTTGTCTGCATGGGGGTGTCTGCAAGCCGCTCCTTCTAGGAAATGTACCATGCTCTGGAGTTAGTAAATTTCATATCAAGTACAATAACAACAAAATAAAAGCAGTGCTTTAGAGGTTTGTGTTAGAAAGGTGTAAAGTGAAATTCTTTACTTTTTCATTGATCTGATGAATTACTGGAGTTGTCATGGTACATTCATAGAAGACATAAAATAGAAGTTGTCAATTCTTACCCTGCTTTTTGAGGATCTTATCTGCTTAAAACTTCAGCACAGGTCAAACAGTAGTTCATTTCCCTAGCCCCTGGTTTTCAAACTTGCAACTATAATCAAAATACATACTGCCCATATGTAATAATCTAACCAGAGGACTGATAACTGCATCTACAGGGTGGGACAGAAGAAGGTTTATAGGTGTTCAAATGGTAAATAACACAATGATTAATAAATAATACCAAAGATAAATTCTGTTTTGTGTATTCACAACTGTAAACTTACTTTTGCCCAACTCTGTTTTGATATACAGACCTTGTTCAGAATTTCTTTTATTAGAATGTGAAAATCCAGAAAATTGGGTCACATATTGGGAATGGAGCTGGTTAAAATCTCTAAAAGCTACATGACCCTAGAAGTTATCAAAAAAGCAGACTGAATATACCCTTGAAGTTTGTTTTAAAACATCAGGCAAAAAATTATTCATTATTGAAATTTAATTCAATAGAAAAATCCCCAACAGAAAACCAATGGCTAGTGGATGTATGAACTGAAGGAAAGCACAGAACCAATCAGCTTGCCCAGAGCTAAAAGTGGGAGGGCCTTTATACAATGAATGCCCTCAGCCTTTTTCTCACCAATCCTGGGGCATAATCATTCTGCCATGCTTCCATCTGCCCGTTCTTCCCATAAACCACCCATTTTGCTCCCTTTAGTGTGGGATGAACACACCATTTCCAATTTTAGCCTTCTTTTTTTTTAATATATATAGTTTTTGTTCCAACACTAAGCAGTTGAACAATTTGAATTGTTTCCAAAGACAATAGATATAACTCTGATGGATTTTACCAATTACTGAAGGATTTGTAATATTTTCTCACATACTGGGTCTAACTTACTCAAAACAAACAAAACAAAAAAATGGCAGGACATGAGCATTCCAATTTTGAAGCCATGATTTCTAGAAGTGGTTTTTCATGATAGAGCTTTTGCCTCTTCCACAGTGACTAGAAAACTACAACTGTAGGGAACTAGTATGTTGTAGACGGTCATATTTGCTCCTTCCTCAGTGTGAAATATCTGGTTAATTTTAGGGTAGAATTTTTCTCCAAAGTGTGTTGGGAAAAGGAGCAAGGAAGATATATACAAGATATTTATACGTTACGTACATGAAGACAGCCATATGTATTTGTAGATAATAGGGCTTGATTGAGTTTCAGAACACTATCTGAGTCAATTTTAGAAGCTTTTGTGTCTAGGACTTAATATTTAAATATATGGTATTGGGAGATTTAGAACAAAAATGTATTTAGCAGTCCTTTATTTCTATCCATTGTTCTCATATTGTTGTCAGCAATAACATAATTCTGAGATTAGCACAATTAATAAAAACATATACTTTAAATGTTTCTGATAAACAATTTTAATTTCTTTAATTTAAAAATAATTAATAAAACATTTTTTCTATATTCCAATCACTTTACAAGGCAACCATTGGAAAATGTGTTCAAAATATCCTTTTTATGTTTATTTTCATTGACTTTCATTCTCAAAGTTCCTTTACATTATACTTTATAAAAAATTTTGCCCTGGCTGGTGTGGCTCAGTTGGTTGGAGTGTCACCATGTATACTGAAAGGTTGTTGGTTTGACTCTGGTCAGGGAAGATACCCACGTTATGGGTTCAATCCTTGTGTGGCATGTATGGAAAGCAACCAATTGGTGTTCTCTCTCACATCGATGTCTTTCTCTCTGTCTTTCTCTCTCTTTACCTTCCTCTCTCTCTAAAAATCAATATACACATCTACGTGTGAGAATTAATTTTTTATGAGAAATTTCATATATATAAAGTAGAGAGGATAGTATAATGAATCCCCTTCACCTACCCGCCTTCCCTCTCAGTATTATTTTGAAACATATCTTAGACATCATGTCATTTCTTCCATAAATATTTCAGCATCTTTTTATCCATTTGTTATATAATCTGTCACTTTTTCTTTTGAGCCTTGCCACATTTTTTTCTTTGCAGCAATTTTCTGATTAGTCATCAGATCTTTGAAAAATACCACTACAGGAACATTTATTAAAACAACTCTAACACATATTACTAGAAGGCAAATTGACATTGACCTATCCATAGGAATGCACTTTGAAGGGGAAAAATGTGAATTTTCAGTGCTGCCTATTACCTAACCTGAGAACCAGAGTTTTATTTCCTTTCTGTATTTTTTTAATGTGTAAAATACAGTGTTCAGTGTGGTGGCCCTTAGGCATTTCACCAGCTCCTCTTGCCTAATTTCTTGTATCATTTCTTACAGACAATGCTTCCATGGACAAGTCCTCATCAAAACTGACCCATGCTGATGGAGAACAAACATCAATCATCCCTGTCCATCAGGTCATTGATAAGGTCAAGGGTTATTGCAATCCTCATTCAGATAACTTCTATAAAAACATTATCATGTCAGACACCTTCAGCCACAGCACAAAGTTTTAATGTCTTTAATATAAGAAAGAAATGTGATCTGCAAGCAGTGAACACTGTGACTAGCAGATGTAAATGTGCCGTTACCTAGGTAACTCCATATCTATGAGGAATGTATTTTGTTAAAAAGGCTTTTATGAAATTCAAAATTTGTCTTTTCAGTGTATTTCTTCCATGGGGAAGTTTCCATCATCACTGAAACTTCAGTACTGAGAGCAACACTATTCAGTAGCCACAGGAAAAATGAATTTTTAAAATATAAAATTGAATTCCACTAATCAGAACTCAGGGGGAGACATTAAAATTAGAGAAGGGAGAGGCTGAGCTAGGGACAAACCCTAGTTTAGAGCTCATTCACACCCCACCCAATAGTTAGGTTTGGGTTTAGCCATTTGCTTCCTTGAAATCTTTCTCAACAATCAAAGCATAATGATACTTCTAACTTTTGTAGATGCCTGCAACTCCTGAAATGTGCTAGTTTCTGTGAATGAAGTAGCATATATCCTCTTTTTTTGTGAAATATCGTCCATAGATACAAAAGAATGTCTGACCTGAAGAACAGATAGGAATTTTTTCTTATCATACCAATTGTTTAACCTTCAGGAACATAACATTCTTAAGAAAGAAAGAATTCACCAAATTTTGACCTAGTTAATATGAGGCCATGCAAATTTATACTATTTTACTTATCCTATTCAAGACACAAAGCTTAAGGATCATCATTAATTATCACTTAACCCCATACATTTGAATCAAGTTTAGCATTGATGGTTCATTAATGTGAACCTCCCAGTAGTTATTGAAGAATGAGTCTCTTATACCTCTGCTTTGCTCCTTTACTGAATATTGAGCCCACAGGCTCTGGAAGGAATGAGAATTTCCATTAGGCATGCTGTGTGCCATAATTTCTCCCTTTTAGGAAATATAGTCATTGAGACTCTCGGGTCCTACCCTTGCTCTGCAGACTTTAAGACATTTGCAGTTGCACAAATGAAAAGCCTCTTACTTCCCCCTTTAAGAGTTTTGTTCCAAGGAATATAAACTGAGACAAATGGGTGACTTATCATAATCAAAATAATTTATAAACATGTGGGTCTACAATTGCTAGTCGAAAAACTATTTGTACATAAGTCCTCTGATTATAGGAGCCAGAGGAGGTCTGGTAAGATAGATGGTGTTATTTATGGATTAGGTTTCTGCCTACAAGCCATGCATAATATTAAGCAACTTACTTAACTTTCAAACTATTCTGAGTAATATGCTTGCTAGTGAATGTTTAGGAGACCACATTTTATTTGTTCTTAAATGATGGATTTGTATCCAGTTTCTTACAGATTGGTCTCAGTACGTGCTGTACCCTTACATCTGCTCTGGGTTATCTGGGAAGTATCAGATTCTGGGAGGTGGCTATGTGTTGGGAAGTTAAGCCATTCTGGAGCCAATCTGTTTAAAGGCAGCAGGCAGAACTGAGCACCTGGGGGCCTTTCCCTCTGTGCAGAAAGCAGATAGCTCTCAGCCTGAGACTTAGCATCCAGGCTGTGCAGCCACCAAGGGGCCTCTCACCTTTTGCTGATCCTCAGTCATGAAGCTATTTGCCAGATTGAATGGATAATAAGACAATGTGGGGGTGGATTTTATTACTGTTCCATTTCGCAGCAGGGTGGAACACTGTCCCGGGGGACATGAGCATTGCCCAGCTTTGCTTTCACAGGGGAGGGGTGTACATAGTAGGGAAGGATAGTAAATCTTCAAATCACAAAGATCCATTACAGTAGAGCCAGATCGTTCCCTGTAGGCATATGTTAACAGGCTGCTTATTCTGGCAGAAATTATATATAGATAAAAATTAATCTTAAATAGTCACTGAATCTTCATATACTGTCCCCAAGCCTTAGAGATTCATGATAGAATTTAATTAGCTTCCTACTGTGAGATTTCTACCCAAAGTGCGTATTGAGTTAACAGTGATTAAGAGGTAGCTACAAAAATGACTTTGATTTCTACTCATATTTATCCAGATCTGGGAAACCTTTTTATTCATATTTGACAACAATGTCAGCTCCATTTTAGAAATGTCCAGTAACCAGGTAAGGAAAAATGGAAGAAACAGCTGAATAGGAACATTTGCAACTGGATTTAAAGACTGAGCCAAATTCTACCCTCAGTTCTAAGGATACAATTCTCCCCTTCACTTAACCCCCTCAGAACAGAATTACAGAAATTCAATTACAGGAATGTAATTCTGTGGAGCCAAAATTTAGTTTCAGCTCAGCTTTGAGACTAATATCAATTCAGACTCTCTGGGATTTTTTCTTCTTTATCCTTTAAAAACAAAACTCCATTGTATTGAATCATAGTCTAGCATCCTGAGATATTTTGCCTTCTTGTCGCCATTACTTGCACTGTAATGCTTTTCTTTTTCACTGTTGTCATAGACTCTTTTGTACATGTTTATTTATTTATGTTTATAAATGTCAGCTTGTTTTGTATCTTAGCTTTATATTGCCTGGCTTTGTTATTTTAATTAACTTTCTATTGGAGAGACTGTATATATATTTTTTCTAAGTACCTTGTGAAATAGGTTTCTGTAGCAGTATCTTTACTTATGATGCATTAAAAGTGACTGTGAGCGCAAATTGGAATTAGTAGTGAGAAGCTACTGTAGCTGATTTGCCATTGTACTTATATGGAAATGTTTTTCAAATAAATACTTACGTTGTTTGTGTCCCAAATTATTCAATTCCTTTATGAGGGAATTTTTTTATTTCTAACTCTTAAATAGGAAAAGATTATTTGACAACTGGAAAACAACCAGCCTCTAATTAAGCTAGTCACATGGACTACTTGGCCAAGTCACTGAGAATGAGTATGTTACCAAAATCCAGTTTACTCAGGATTAATGCATTTTGAAGTTCTTAGATTTTAAGATGACTGATGCAACGCCAAGCTCTGTGGAGGATTAAAAGTAATCATAGGTCTCTTTTTTGAGGAAGTCTTTAGCACCCCCAAAAGGGAACTGAGTCAGTAATATTATGTAGAAGTTAGGTCCTAGGATGTTTTCTCACCATTTATAGTTGCTATTTTCATTGTGGGAGGCTTAGGAAATGACAGGATTTCACCAACTCCAGCATCATTTGCATGATTAGAACAGAACACCTGCACTTCCTTTTGCAGTGGTTATTTAGGATAACTCTTTCCTGCAGAGAGCCAAGGCCCAATTTGGCTTAAGCCAGTGGTTCTCAACCTTGGCTGCACATTAGAATCTACTGGGATCCTTTTAAATATCCTGACTTCTGGGCCCTTACTCTCCGGAATTTCTGAGGCTTTGGTAAGGGACTGGGCGCCACAACATTAGTAACAAAGAAACAGAATTTCCAGAGGATGAGGCCCAGAAATCAAGATTTTAAAAAGATTCCCAGGTGATTCTAATGTGCAGCCAAGGTTGAGAACCACTGGCTTAAGCTGTGAGGTGCGTTCACTAGTCACTGCTAAACGAGGTCTTCTGAGCCAAAGTTCACAACTCCTGGCCAAGCCGTGTTAAGAAAACAGGCAAGTAGTTGCTTAAGATTCATCTGTGAGCAGGTTACTTCAGAAAGCTTGGAGCAGATGGGAACTACTTATTTGACTTGCAGGCTGACCCGTGTTTAGAGTATTTTGAGATTTGAAAAAAATTAGGCTTTTTTGAGTTTTGGAAACTCATCTGTATTTTCAGTTGAGTAACATTCTACTTTTCTCATATAAAAGAGTTGAATATCTCTCCCTCCTCCCCTACAACTTTCCTCTTTCTCTCACTTTTTTCCTCTGTTTCTCCCTTCACCTACCCCTCACCCCCCTCTTCATTTCAAGGAAGAATACTTAAAGTAAATTTCCCCTTTCTGCTTCCCTAGAGAAAAATAGAAATAACTGTGAAATATTGAAATGTTTGCATTTATATTCTATGGCCTGTCAAAAAATAGGGTGGGGGGAAATGACATGTTTTATTACCACTGGCAATAATTTAAAATAAGTAATTTGGACCCGATAGAACAAAAATCTGTAAACACGTTTGGGTGCCCTATACTTCTTTTCTATCTCATAATTTTCACCACAATTTTATTGTGGGCGGTTGTTATGCCAATTTTCCATTTGGTAAAAGTGGTGATTAAAGGCGGAAAGTAACCTACCTGTGGCCACAGAGAATGTTTGAGGAGGATTCAAACCTAAGTCCATCGGACTTTGTGTTCACTCTTCTATGTCAGAACCGAGTGGCCCCCTTCAGAGAACATGAAGCCTGTGAAGGAAGGTAATTCAAGGACAGGATCAGTGTCATAAGATTTTGATGAAAGCTTCTAGAACTTCAGAGAAAAGCTCAGAACTAGCAAAACATTAGTGAGGATTTGGTCTCTGAAGTCTTGATTGATGCTGTTAGGCCTCTGCTGGGAGTAAGGAATGTCATTCCAGGTACGGAGGTTGGAACATCCAGGGCAGTGAGTGGAACAGCGTTGAGGTTTGCTTGATTGTGGGGTGTGCGGGAGAAGGTTGTGGAACTGTGAAGAAGCCAAAACCAGGCCACAGTGTGAGCTGAGTGTCTAGCTGGGTGAGGTTAACCTGTCAGCGGGCACAGGGAGGTATACAGGCTCTAGGCAGGGAGTCCTAGCTGGAAGGTGTCTGTGGCTGGGTTAGTAGAAGGCAGAGGAACTGAACTCAGGGAGAAGAGTGAGGAAGCCTTTGGAAAAGTTGATGGAACAGCAAGGCAACTTGAGGAACGGTGTCCGGGGATCACAGGTCTAAGAGGAGTGATGATAATGCCTATCATAAGGCTTTCAAAGCAGTGACAAGCACCCCACCTTTTGGTAGGGGCTAACTCTCCATACTGAGCGGTGAGGGCCTGTTGCTTCCAGATGCCCACGGTTTGAGAAACAAAGCAAGCCTTTAGAAAGGAAGGAAGGAAGGAAGGAAGGAAGGAAGGAAGGAAGGAAGGAAGGAAGGAAGGAAGGAAGGAAGGGAGGGAGGGAGGGAGGGAGGGAGGGAGGGAGGGAGGGAGGGAGGGAGGAAGGAGAAGGAGGAGAGGGATAGGGAAGAAAGGAAGGGAGGGGGATGGGAGGAAGAGGAAGAAAAAGGGAAGGAGGAAGAAGGAAGAAGCTGCTTATGTCAAGATATATAAGAAAAATGGTGCCGGGGGAAGAAGTGGTGGGCTAGTTGTTCAAAGGAGTATAAACATAAAGGTAAAGGTGTCTTATGGAGTTTCCTTTTTTGTTTGTTCTATAAACAAAATACAATATTTGAAGGTGACTATAAAAGGAAGGCAGCAGGAGAGAGTGGATGGTGTATGGAGCAGGGCCATGAAGGTAAGAAGGTGAGGATGAAGAGAGCACACACAGGGAGTTAGTCCCAGCAGAGAGGGGACATAGCTCCCTTCTGAGGCTAAAAAGAAGACTATTAGATGAGACAAGGAGGGACAAGGTACAGATAGTGAGGAAAACTTGTTTCCTGATCTTTAAGTTAAAATAATTAGAGGCTCACTTCACCTGCCGGGTGTTATAAGGGAAGTGGTATCAGGATAGAGAAATGAGCAAAATTAAAAAGATTTGAAACAATCTTACAGGGGATGCAAATACTTAGCTAAACTAAACAAATTAATAAGTGGTTTTTGCCCTTTGTGTAGCTTTTACAGGTATATTCCCCAAATCATCTCATTAAAATATTTTTATTTGGTATGTTTTTAGAAACTACTTTATTTCAAGGTCATAATCAAAAGCTTAATATTCTGAAGTCTCAAAACCACCTATGGATCAGGGACTTATTTTAAACACTTGTGAATAATTGGATGATGAGTAATTTCAGACATATTTTGACATCTTTTGAATTCTTAAAATTACATATTCTGGTTGTCTTGACTTATTTTTATGATGAATTAACTGAAATAATTTATATAAATTCAAGATGTCAATGAGAATAAAGTATTTGATATTCACATTAAATATATTGCAGTATTGATCCTTATAGTGTCTAGTTATACTGTGTTAGAAAATAACAAAATGAAGAGTTTGCATACTCCAGGAGCCAAAGAATGACCTCTAGAGCGCTACAGTACTTTGCTGTTTCATTGTCCTAACACTCAATCATTCAAGTGTATTGAGTGATTAAAACCCTGTGCTAGGTTATGGGGGGTTGCAAAACAAACTCAGAACCTTCCTACAAGGATTTCACTGGCCAGAAGAACTGACTTATCTGATACATTTGAATTACCTTAACTCAAGGAATAATTGGCTTATCTGTAGGGATCTGTAATGTGATCATTACTGCCAAATTAGAGCTAATGCATTGTCTTCCATAACACTTAACAGCACTATATTAAGTACCTACAATGTCTAGAGCACTTAAACTTGACACTTTGTATTGTTCCTGGTTTTTTAAAATTTCATATGTGTTTGGCTTTTCTATTGAATGATGTTAATATTAAGGTCCCAGACACTGGGTTATGTTTATGCTTATCATTTGCATGGGCAATAGCATACTGCCGGGCACATAAGAGGTGTTTGGTAATGCTTATGGAATTAAATTGAAATTTGTATGTAGTTTTCCTCGTTCATTTGCATTTTACATTTTGGAAAAGTAGATCTCAAAGTACCTTGGATTTGGTAGGTTTGCAAGAGCATGCACAAGAAATACAATGCAGAAGGTGGGGAAAGCATATTAACACTAGAGGCCGGTGCATGAAATTTGTGCACTCGGGGTCCCTCAGCCCAGCCTGCGCCCCCACCGCTGCACTTGCCAGCCGTGAGCCCGGCTCATGGCTTCTGGCTGAGCAGCGCTCTCCCTGTGGGAGTGCACTGACCACCAGGGGACAGCTCCTGCATTGAGCATCTGCCCCCTGGTGGTCAGTGCACATCATAGTGACCAGTCATTCTGCCGTTCAGTTGATTTGCATATTAGCCTTTTATTATATAGGATTATGCTATTTAAGGCCCTTTAAGCCAAGTACTATTTGTCACTTTATGTGATTCAGGCAAATGGGATAAGAACAAAAAGACATCAGTTTGATATTAACTCTGATTCTTTTTATTGGTATTGGAAAAGGAACTAAATTCAACTCAAGCCTGAGATGAGTAAGTACATAAACCTGTTCTTGAGCAATTGTCTTGGGAACTGTTTCATGGCTCAGACTGGCTGCAGTATTAGGGAATTTAAGATAAGAGCACAGAGTGTCCTCAAGGAGCCTGGCAGCCACATGTGCAGCCAGACTTTGGGGAATCTGGGACCAAGGAATGGTGGTCCTCGACATCAAGCACTTATTTTGTCTGCAATGCTATAGTTGTTTGTTTTTCTAAGACTTTATTTTTTTAGAGCAGTTTAATGTTCACAGCAAAATTGAGAAGAGATTTTTCCATATACCCCATTCCCTGCTCCCACACATTCACAGCCTCCCCATTATCAGCATCCCCCACCACAGTGATACATTGATTACTTCAATGAACCTCCACTGATGCATCATCATCTCCACAGTCCACAGTT